GCGGGATTTAAACCCAAGACCTGTAGATTACAAGTCGTTTAAACCACTGAGCCACCGACGTTTCTTCCTTCTTGCTAATATTTTAATGTAAAAGTTTAAATGGATAGATGTTTTTTAGAGTCTGTAGCCTAAATGGCTAAACGTATTTGGATGAAATGCCAAACATAGATGTAGAACATTGTTTGGAAGAACTCATAGGCTACTTACGTTTGTATTTATTAATTCCATGCCGACAGAGTCGCGGGAAAAAGCTTGTATATTATAAATGTGCAAGTTTGGAAGGATGGATGTTTATTACAAGTCGTAGCCTAAATACTTAATGGATCTCGAAGAAACGCACAGATGCAGAGCGTAATCTAGAAGAACACATTCTACCATACTTATTTTTTATTTTAATTGCAGACGGAGTCGCGGACGATAACTAGTAGTATTTAAATTTTACTTACTTTACATACATTGTCCTCGCTTCGTGAGCTACTGCCGGCGAAGTCATCGGAATCAGACACATTACTACCAGAATCGCTTGGAAAACCACTTTTACTATCATGATATTGTCGACTTAACAATGGATTTTTCTTAATAACCCCATCATCTTGTCCAAGAACAGGCAACGTTTGCATACGTTCATTATTAATACGAACTATATCACGTTCGGTGAGAATTTTGCCATCTTTGTTTATGCTTTTAAGTTTTCTTGCTTTACTTTCTTCGGAGGCTGCTTTTCGACGTTTTCGTATATGTAGATATAAGAAAACGGATGCAACGTAAATGAGACCAAGGAGGAGAGAACTAATTCCTATCACTACGTATTCAGTAACAGTTAGTCCAGATGTATCGGTGGTTGGCAAAGTTTGTGCATTCGGTGCGAACTGAACCTCGGTTATATCTGAAAAGGTAAGTGATAAATTCCAGTTGATTCTTGAAATGTTTGATAACTGCATAATCGAGCGAGTCAAGCGATCCAGTGGCAAAGAGGGGGCAAAGATTGCCACAATGTTAATGTCTCGCAATGGGGTACCAAATGGTGCGCAAAAAAATAGTGAGAGCGTTAAAAAGGTATCCTGCCCAGAACGTGAAATAAATTAAACACCACTGAATAGGTCCAGGGCTTTTTCTTTTTATAAGGTGGCAAATGAGGGGCCACCTGAATCCACTAATCGTGAAGCGATCGCTGCCCGGGATTATTCCTTACTGTCACCCCTCTCTGTCCCCACGTGGCGACAGATGAGAATAAAAAGTTTCATCCGTCTCACCTATTGCGACAAGGGGACGATTGGAACTTATTCTATTTCATAATGGTTCCATCTGTCATCTTATTGGTGATAGTGGGACTAAAAGGTGGGATGGATGAAACTTTTTATTCTCACGTGGGGACAGAGCGGGATAACGGTTG